TATAGTATACTACGTACGTATATAGTAATAAGTAATAGTATATATTAAGTAAAATAAATAATAAGTAAATAAATAAAACGTAAGTAGTAGTGTGGTGTAGTATATATATATATATATATATATATATATATATATAGCCGACCCAATTAATTAGGGAAAGGACTATGATGATGATGATATGCATATATATATATATATATATATATGGAAAAACCTAAAAAATGCCTATAGGAGAAATGCTACATTGTTTTGCCTCCATCACGTACTTGCTATGTCTGTGGCGGTTTATTGAACGGACCAAAGACGGATGGCACCGTCTGTAGCGGTTCCGCGTGAATTTTTGGACCGACACGGACTTAGTATGTCCATGACAATACCCGCCATGGACATGCTAGGTCCGTGATGGCACCGCCACGAACATGCTAGGTCCATGGTGGTCGAAAAACGCACGCCGTCCGATTTTTTCTGACGGCAATTGGCCTATGGGTGAATCACTGTCGCATTTCGCCCATATGCGTTGCGTAGATGCTTCCTATATATATTGGAGCATATAGTATGTAATATACAAGCTATAATATACATATATTTTGTTGTGTAACACAAGATGCTTGTCTTGCACCCATATCTGTATTATGGAGTATAAGAAATGCAAAGTAGTATCCCAGGTCTGGTCATCATAGGCACATTGCCCTCATAGTAACATTATATGACGATTAACCAAAAATGAGCAGCCTAAGTCAAGCACAAACATCCCACAAAAAATGGAGCTCCTATACTAACATTATATGGCAACCTAAAATACCTTGGCTTGAATTTGTGCATAGGAAAACCTACGAAACACCTGTGAGACTCAAAAGTAGAGACTCTCAGTAGGAGGCTGGTAAATTGAAAGGAAGGCTACTTTCTTTAGGAGGAACGATTACCTTGATAAAAACAACTCTTTACAAATTTTCCAATTTATAACCTGCCCTCTTCCCTATGCCTTCGTCTATTGTAGACAAGCTTGAGAGCCTTATGAGGAATTTTCTTTGGTCAGAAGCCAATGACGGCCACAAGTTCCCATTTCATTGCAAGGGACAAGCTGTGCGGACCAAAAAAAGAAGGTGGCCTCTGTATTTGACAGTCAAAAGAGAATAACTTGGCTCTAATGGGCAAATGATGGTCGAAGCCAGCAGTAAAGATACCCACCTGTGGAGGAAGCTTATTCGAGTGAATGTGTCACGGGAAATGGTGGCTGGCTCCCCAAGTATCCTCCACACCAGGCATCAGGGGCTGGAAAAGCATAGCCAGGGATAGGCACAATTTCAAGGAGAATATGAGATTCAAATTAGGAAGAGGCAACTGGATAAGATTCTGGAAAGACCTACTGGTGGGACCAGACCCCATGGCCATCCCTTTTGACAATAGCAGTCAATGAGGAAATTACTGTTGCAGAATCAGCGGAATTGAGAGGTGGGCACATCATATGGACTCCGGTGTTTAGGAGGGCGGAGGCCCGTCTTGGAACCAGAAAGTGGCCACCTCATTGCACTTCTATGCTTGCTCCAAGATTTCTACATCACCCTAGTGGGTTGCCACCGTCTGGTTTGATCCCCTTCCTCCAGTGGAAAATTCACAGTCGCATCATTGTACATGTCCCAGCGGCATACCCAAACCTCCAATCCCATATTTAACAAACTTTGGTCTGCCCCAGTCCCCCACAACATCCAAGCTTTGCTTGGATCATGGCTTACAGTAGGCTCCCAACAAGTGACCAACTCCAAAAGATAGGTGCACAAGCACCCAATTGATTGTCTGATATGCCTACAAGAAGAGGAGACCATTGACCACCTCTTCCTCCACTATCAGGTCACCTCTTCCCTATGATCCAGCCTCCTTCAGCTATTCAGTTTCCAATGGGTCACTGTCGGTCCATTGAGCAGCTGCTGATTGTCTTCATGTCTCCAACTTTGCCTAAAACCGGTCATCTACTTTGGATGGCATCGGTCTTCCCTCTGTTCTGGGGTGTGTGGAAAGAAAGGAATGCACGCATTCTTTGCAGTTCGCAACATCCCACTCAGCAACTTTTCAACCAAATCAAAGCAGAAATGAATTTTTGGGCAAAGTGGTTGCCACTTTGTCGCAACTTGGAAAACTGAACTTTCCTAAGTAACTAGGGAGACATTTTTATGTCAGACTGTTCAGGTAACTTGGATACCCCCACCTCAGAGTATCCAAGTTAGATGTTGATGGATGCTCCCTACGTAATCCTGGACTCTACGGTTGTGGGGGGGGTCTCGGAAGCCATGAAGAAGAGATCATGTTTTTCTCAGGTTTCATAGGCCCTAAAGACTCAACCAGTGCCGAAACAGTAGCTATCTTGGAAGCCTACAACATACCGTCCTCGTTACCATTAACATTGAGAGACTAATCGTAGAGGGAGAATCTCAGAATGTGATTGCTTGAGCTGCAAAGGAATCCAAACCCATGGAGACTGGCACACACTTATGACCACATACAGATGTTATGCAAGGCAACTCAGGTCACATTCCACCATATAACGAAGGAAGCCAATGTCATCGCTCATCAGTTGGCAAAGGAACAGCCAGCGTTTCATTGTTGACACATTCCACACATTCCTCTCCTCTGTCACTCTCTCTCTCTCTTCCCTCATCTATCTCTCTCCTCTTTCTACTCTTCTCTTTCACTCTATCTCTCCCTTAACCTTCTTGGTTTTGGCAGCAGTTTATAGTTTGTATGCTGCTAATGCATGGGATTTTTTTGGGTTGAGTCCGGAACCCCATTTTGTATGAGAGGTCCTAGACTATGGGTAGCCATATTGAGGATTTTTTACAAAAAAATTATTACTTCTATATAGTAAACCTTGTCTCTGAAAAAAAAAAAATGAGCATCCTGAGTTTTGAGTACAAACATCCATCAAAAAACTGAACAATACTTCTATACAATAATTTTGATTGTGACACATACAATAGAAAAACAATTAGAATGCCCATACGCCTATAACAATAATGTTTTGAAAACATGTCTCCAATATAGTTTGGACAACTTTTTTTACTTTTCGTATGTGTTTATGCAGTGCTTTAATACGCATCATGCACTTGTACTTTTTGTTCTTTTTTTTTTTTTCCTGGACAACAGATTTAGAGCAATCACCAATGTTGGCAAACCTATGTAGGTAGGACACACACCAAACTTCGTATTTTTTCAAACTACAGTTTATATTTTAGACAAGCTAAAATTTAGAAACAAATATTTCAGAAATTCCAAATACCCAAGTAAAATCTTTATATCCTAATCCTAAACCCTGAGAGCTTGCCTCATGCCCTGAAGCTGGTAACACCCAACACCAAAAGCACTAATTCCAGTAACTTACCTCACCAGAAGTTCAAATTACAGGCCCTAAAAAAATGAAGAAATTAAATATGAACATAGAAGACCCACCACCATACTTAATGAAAATTAAATAAGACAAATGTCAACAGATAAGACCACCCATCCATAATGAAATTTAATAAATGCAAATACAGTATTCAGAAGGTACAGTAAGACATACGAGAAAAGTGCAAATTATAAAGTGACGTCTAATATCTGTAAATTGAACCTTAATCCCCAATGACAAGCCAAGTGTCTTACGTATAGGCATCTGTTTGCCAAAAAGAGAACCAATAACAAACTCATGCAAACATCTGTTTGCCAAAAAGAGGACCAATAATAAACTCATGCAAACATAAAACCAACTTACAATAAAGAAGTATAATATAAGTTTTCATAAACGAGCACGTAAAGAGTTTTGATTCCCATGATAACCAAAATTTTAATGTTGATGGAAAATTTTGCAAATTAAAGCACACAAATCACCAAAGTCCAACCCTAAACTCATTAACCATGCCTAAATACGACACAAAAATGCATCCTCCACCAAAAACCAAGATACACAACTTCATCGTATGGTTAAATAACAGGAAAAATCTAGAGATAGAGACTTTATTTGGAATCAGAAGAACACAGAAACTGAAGCCAATCATTTGAATAACACTATAAAATGACAAAAAAATTTCCATGAAAGCCTCACAGAATGAGGCTAAGTACTGCAGTTGGCGCATCCCCTTACTAACCCTCAAAATAAACCTCACATTCCAGAAGATGAAAACGAACTACACAACGGATTCACATATAAACTACAAAATGAGAGAGAGAGAGAGAGAGAGAAGGAACAAAAAAAAAAAGGGTTTCTAGACTTACAGTCGATGAGGAGGAGCTGGGAGAGGAGAATGATGCCCAATGTTGCCTCCATGTTCATGCTACAAGAAGCCGCCTCCTAGAGAGAGAGAAGTCCTTGGAGGAAGAGAGAGATGGAGTGAGAGAGAAGGCGGGACCAAACCTTGGCAATGAGCAGGGAAGCGGGGGAAGCAAATGAGGAAAGAAAAAGGGGAAGAGAGAGAGAAAGAGAGAGAGGAGAGAGAGGAACCAACCCCTGGCAATGATGGCAGGGGGGGGAGAGAGAGAGAATGAAAAGCTTTGGAGGGTTCGAGTCCCGCCTGTTCCTCAGGCACACTACGGCTCTCGATCGTATCTCTCTCTCTCTCTCTCTTGGCCGCTCTCCGTTAAGCCCAATAACAGAGAAATATTAGTATTGTACCCCCGAAGCTTTCTCAACTATGACACATTCGTCCCCATTAAACTCCTAGTACCCACGTAAGGGTGGCAATGGCCCGGGCCTCGACCGACCTCACTCGGCCTAGCCTGACCCCGATCTTGTCACTATAGGCCCCGCCTTTGGCCCTATTAGCCCGAGCTGAATCGAGCACGATAAACTGAAGCTCAGCTCTCCGACCACACTTTGTAGCTCAAGCTTTACTTTTTTAGGGCGGAGTTGGGCGGGCCATTTGTTAGGGCATGGCTTCACGGCCCATTGCTAGCTCTCGACTTTCCCTTTTGTATGGCGATTTTACAAAATAAAATGTACAAAATGACTATTAGCCCGTGCTGAAACGGCCCTAGCTCAGCCCTCGGACTACAGTTTGTAGCCAGGTTATACTTTTTTAAGGCCGGGCCGACGGCATTGCCGGCCCTTGACTTCCCCTTAGTACGACGATTTTACATAAATAAAATGTAGAAAATGACTGTTAGCCCTGAATTTTCCCGTTTGTGACGTATTTTTAAATAAAATGTAGAAGATGACTATAAAATGTAAAAGATGACCGGTAGCCCTGAATTTTTCCGTTTGTGACGTATTTACCCATAGTGAGAACGCTCGATTTCTTGTATGACCGTCAAGCGAATAAAAGTATAGAAAATGTCTTCTATGCTCTGAACTTTTTGGTTTGTAACATTTGTACCATTTGTGCGAGGATTCAATTTGTCACTGTATGTGACGCATTTACCCCTGATTCTAGTTGAGATCTGCATTTTTCTACTTGTGTGACGTAATTGCCCCTGAGTTGGGGCTTGAAGTCTACGCGCTCGGAGAAATGACGTAAATGCCCTAATTCACTTAAACTTGACCTCCCCTACCCTAGTCCTTTTTGAAATACTGGAAAGGGTCCCCCACTTTTAGGGGTGGCAATGGGTCTGGTTAGACCTGGACCTGGACCCAGATCCGAATGTATTCGTGTCTAGGTTTTGGACCCATATCTGACCTTTCGGGTCCAAAAGTTGGACCCATACCCGTACCTCTCGGGTCTTGGGTCTATCCTGTCAGGTCATGGGTCTGATTGAATCTATTGCCATCCTCACAATGAGCTTTCTTTTTTGTAGCTTATAATGGTGAACAACATAGACCTGATTTTTGAGGGGTGGGGGATTAAAGAGAGAGACATTTGAGATTCAAAGAGAGCGCTATGTTTCCAAGAAACTGAGAAAGGGAGAATTGTAGAGAGGGAGGATAGCGATGAGGTTTAGTCGTTTGAGGGACCAGGGAAAGACGAAAAGTATTGAAACGATTTTAGAGTTAGGGCTTTGGCTCTTAGGTAAACTAAAAATCAGGGTCCAGGTACCTGTCGAGTCGGGTATAGCAGCACCTATACCCAGACCCAGACCCGAGACAATGTGGATATACTTTATTGGACCTAGAAGCGTGTCGGATATGCCCGACGGATATGGGTCGGGTCTGGGTCCATTGCCACCCCTATCCACTTTATGTAAAAAGTCCCTAGTATTCCCATAGAGGAAATGCCATTCGGTAAAATAATTACATAACAAATGGCCAAAAATGGAAACAAAAATAATCAAAGTTTAATGTATCAGCAATTTAAATGTGACTCAATTGGATTTGGCTGGAATTTTATAATTACTTATGTTTTAAACGCACGCGAGTGGAACGATATTTCATTTTAGGGTGTGGTTTTTGTAAGGTTGTAACGTTAAATAATCCAATTAAGGCACACCTCCAAAATTTATCATCAATTTTTTTGTTGTAAAAACCTTTTAGGATTATCTTAAAATCTATTTTTATATCTATTTAGAAAATTTTAAACTCTCAACAAATGGTTAAAATCAAGCAGATCTATAAATATATAAAAATCCTGAAAATGAACGGTCTAGATAATGTGTTGCAAAATGCACTATTTTTGGGACTCAAAAACTTTTTTTTTTTTTTCTCATATTCATATATCTCAATGTCGAGATGATCAATTAAAGGGTTTTTTAACATTAAAACAACTTTTCAGATAGATTTTTGTGGTGCATATGTAATTCTACATTTTAAGGTCTTCATTTTATTATACAAAAGCTAATTAGGAAATATTTGAAGCCAAAAGATATTATGCTCCCTCTGAAGTAGAATGATCATTTACTCCCTAGGGTTAACCCTCACCTAGAATTAATTTTAAGAAATCAGATTTTGTGGATGTATCCTCTTCCACCCATAGATTAATATAAGTAAAAAAAGAAAAATAAATTCTAATTGTACCCCTTTTTCACTTGAAAAACATAATGTTTTAATATTGAATAGAGGCCATCCGATTTTTAGATGGTGAGATCTAAGTGTTATAAAACTCAAATTTCAATTTTTTTTAGAGAATAATCATCTAGCAATTCTTAAGTAGTTCCTAAAATTCTTAGACTACAAAAAAAAATCCTCCCAAGTAGGACTTATGACCGAGGGAGTACAAATAAACTATTCTCTCGAGGGAACATAGTGTATGTGCCCATATTTGAAATTTGGCAAAAAAATATATCAAAAGGGAATGATTGTGTTTTTAATTTTGGAAGACTTCCCGTACTTCCCACCCATAAATATTTCTTTTACATCACTCATCTCCAATACGAGGGGACAACCGAGATGGCCCCAATCCCAATGTCATGCCAATACATTTTTTTTTTTTCCTACAAATTATTTTGATACCAAATTTGGGACGTCCACTCATTAAAATAAAATAATCAAAATACTCATAATAGTTTCTAGAGTTTTTTTTACATTTTTTTTAATATTTTTAGGTGTATCCCATCGAGATGATGACACGTACCAAATTTATATTTATATGATTTGCAAAAAATATAAAAAATAATATCTCATAGATGTCAAAGCTAGATCAAACAGGTAGTGGCTCACTTGTGACATTATTACTAAAGCCATCCCAACTATTCATTCAGCTCTGACAGCTGGGAAATAGGGGATGTAGAAAAAATATATATGGGTAGGGAAGTTGTTTATACTAGAAAATTTAGACGGGGGAACGTACCCCCTGTCAGGTTTTCGGGCATAAACTCATCAAAAGGGGTTCAATCGAGTATCAGTCCCATTAAATTTCGATATTGGCGAGAGACTAGCCACAAGACCACATTTGCTCGGATCGCCAGCAGTGTCGACTTCTAAATGACAAATCTGGAAGTTCATATGAAGTTTTGAAATGGCTATTCAAGAAAAGAGAGGAGGATTGAGAAGATGTGTTTTAGAAATAGATGAAATAAATAAAATAAAAGAATAGAAACATGGGTGTACCTCGAGTTGGGGCCATGCCAGACACCTAGAGCCGGTGCCAGTTCAGAAGCATATATGGATGCACCGACTTTCTCCAATTCTTTGGGAGTTTGCCAGGCACGGCGATTGAAATCGAATATATTTAGTATAAAAAATTGAGTTTAGGTGTCCTAGATAAAGGTTCGAGTCTAGCAAGCTAAGAAGTTTTGGCAAAGTTTTACATTGACTACCTACATAACACAACTCGCCTCCTTTTACCTCGCTTTGGGACATGGTCCTCATCCTTCTTAACCTTTTTAAGGACTTGGATGAAGAGGTGAATATAGGC